AACAGTCGGGTAAAATGATACATAAAGGACCCCTCCACATATATATATATATATATATATATATTCACACTTCCGTGCCATCTTACATCAACGTGGTATTGCTATATTTGTATGTTCGTGCATGATTGTATGCTATGACAATATTGTTATTAATATTTCGAAGTCTTTTCATTAATTTTAGTATTAAACTCTTGTGTGGTACAGTAAGGCAAACCAGGCGCGAAGCCAAAAAGTTGTCTTCTACACACAGGCGTGCGGCGCGCAGGGTGCAAACCTTTCGGGGGGTGAAGGGAACAGGAAACCATGCAACCCGTTGCTGCCAAAACTGCCTTCCCTTAAACCCATATGGGTTTTTGCCAAAATAGGGGTACCCCTGTTAATTATACCCCCAATTGAGAATAGGATCCCGCTTTACAGGGACCCCCCCCCCCAGACGGGGTACCCCTATGATCAGAAACCACCATATAGCATATCATATAGCTCTTAAAGCCCCCAACGAAGCACCCACCACCGGCCCGCCTCCTTAACCCCGCGGAGGTAGCCGGCTCCGAGCATCAGCGTCAGCAGGCTAGAGGTGAGCTCCGACACGATCTTGGCCCGAGTTTGAGGGCTCTAGCGGCCAGCCGACTTCGTTGACGACGTTTCGGGCTTCTTTTGCGGAGGATCTTGGGACCGAGTTCTAGCCCAATGCCACCGATTGCATTACAAGATTACTGTACCCTTGTCCTACTGCGTTCGGTCAAGATGATGCAGAGCAAGTCGCAGCGATGAAGCACAGCTGACCTGAGCCAAGGGAAACTGCAGGGATGGGGGCCTTGCAGGCTGAGCTGGGCCGCAAAGGTGGGCTTTGGGGCCACAACGCTGATCACCGAGAGGCGGATGCCACAGGTTTCATCTTCCTACGGGTCCCGGCAGAAGGAAACCGCTGACTTGCAGTTTCGAGGCAGTGGAAGGGCATTTCCCTGAGACCATGCCTTCAGGGCGCTGAAGTCTGGCTCGCTTTATGCTCAGTTGCAACGTTCTGCTTAGGTTGTTGCAACTGAAGAGCCCGTATACGACGCCTTAGGGCTGGGCGACACTGAACGCTCCTTCTACACAGCAAAGTCCAGTTCTGATCCAAAGTTTCCCAATCGCAAAGGCCAGGCTGCAAAGCCAGAGGTGGGTTCAGAGATCGAAGCTGTCCGCACTTTCGGCGCAGCCGGCCGTAGTCTTGGTGCAGCAGTGCAGCTGGCTTAAGCTTAGCGGTGCGAAGCGGAGCCCAGGTTCAGCCACGTTGCGAGTGTCCTGCGCAGGACCCAACGAAACCTCAGCTAATCAGCTAAACTGGAGGGGATGTCTTTTTCCATTCCGCGTGCCGCGATCTCAAAAACATCAAGCCGCGGATTCACAGGCTCCAAGAGCTCTTCAAACCTCTGGCTCCAGTCGAAGTCGCACGTGTTTCGATGAGCTCCACAGGTTCGAAGGCTCCCGCACTGATCGAGAGGAAACCCGACCTGAGGCAAAGTCGATGCATTTGGCAAAAAAGTGCCCGCGTTCTTTTGTTTTCTGGCGTCTGCTTCGAGTATCTTCACGGCATGTCAAAGCTGCTTGGAGAGCGTCAAAAATGATATGCAGTCTACACTACCTGATAATCTACCATCTGTCGCATACTGCGTTACATTCTGAAGAACGCTTAGTAGGGTCCAGGGCCTTGGTAGTGCAGCCACAAGGCTTGGTCTTGCTCCCAGAGCGGGATATCTCCTCTGACCGCCATGGATCGTCCATCTCGGCTTCGGGAATGGATGTATGGCCGACCAGAAACCGTTTGCTTCTGGGCGTGTGGGTGGGTGTGTGTGTGTGTGTGTGTGCGTGTGTGTGTGTGCCTTGAAAGTGCAAGGTAAGCACATTGAGACAGAGGAAAATCCAAACCTCGGCCTAGCAAGTCACTGCGAGGTGCGCGGAACTTTGATGCAGGTGAATTGTATATGGGTGGTACTCTATGGTGAGCAGATTGTCTGGGTCCGTCTTGTCACCTGGCAGCAAAAGGCTACTGTAGATGAAGCAGTCCGAAGCCACCAACCCCGAACCAAGGCAAAAGATTGCTGGCTTGCTCTGAGCCACGACCATGATGCAGGTTGAGAACCTTGGTGCGGGACATGACCGTGCTGGTTTCTTAAGGAGGGTTTTTCAGCCTTGCCTCACGCGGAACCGGTGCCATGGGAAGAAGCTCCCAAAGGACCACAGCCTTGGACTCAACTCGGCAAAGCGACTGACAAGAGCTTACGGCTTTTTACCGCCCTCTTCAAAAACCAGGCAGCATCTTCAACCACTTCCAGGATCATCATGGCAAGAAGCGCGTAAGTCGCCTGAGCTTAGAAATCTCTCTGACTGCGTCTCACCAGCTCCGTTCGCATTGTGCACTGCTCACGGATACTCAGGCTTTAAACAGGACGCCATTTGTCGTACGAACGCCCGCGCGCCCAACAACCAAATCCAAAACCCCTGACCTGAAACACGGCCCAGGCGTGGAAACCTCTCAGCAACTGTTCACCAAGTGGCGGAAGAATTGAAAAAAGGTTCCTGGACACTGTCGACCGGCTGTAGGCCATAGAACACCGCGCGTGCTGCTCCCAAGCCAAGTATCGCAGTAAATCTGAAATAGCCTCCGAAGATCTTCATGTGGTCATGCAACTTGATAAAACCATTGTATGACATGGCCGTCAGGACATCATGCTGCTCCTGAGTTGATCTGACGGTCAGGTACAGTGGAACCGGCATAGAATGTTTACTTCTGGAAGCACGCCTACAAGTGGTCTCTATAATAGGCCCTCCGCACCTCAATCTGAGGTGAAAACGAGAAAGTCGCCTGATGTGCGCTGATTGCGACAGGAGTTCTGGTCATAGCTTCAGGCTAGAGTGGGCAGCGTTGCAGTGAGGAGGGCTTGAGCTTGAACGCAAAACTCCCCACACACACGATCCCACTCCAATTCGAAAGCTGCAGACGCGCCACATCTACCCAAAACCATCTGAAAGCCTCTTGCCGACTCTTGCCTGCATTCTATGATGGCGTGCAAGGGAACTGAACATGTATACGGCTTGAACAACAGGACGCGACCTCTAACACAGCCTGCGTCCGGGCTTCTCCGGCACAACGTTTGAAGATGCCGAAGACAGCGAAGTGCGACCAGCCCAAGCGAACAAAGAGATTGATCACCAGCCTTTGAGAATCTTGTGCTCTCGGATGCATTTTTTAAGGGTTTGAAGGATTAGCACTGATGATTCTACAGTGTTACGCTTCTTCGTTGCCGCTCTTTTTGGAATGTATTGTTTTGGTGCTGCTACACAGCCAAAGGCGATTACCCATAATTACCCCGATCTTTTATGGAATGTATTGTTTGGTGTTGCTAGACAGCCAAAGGACATTACCCATAATTACCCCGATCTTTGTTGGAATGTATTGTTTTGGTGTTGTTACACAGCCAAAGGCGATCACCCCGTCCGAAAGAGTGTATTGTTTTGGTGTTGCTAGACAGCCAAAGGCCTTCTCCATATGCTCGTTTTGCTCACACCGACTCTCTTCGCACCTACATGCTGAAAAGAAAACACCGCTCCATAGGCCATCTCCATATGCTTTTTGCTCACGCCCCTGCATCCCATTAGTTTTGCGATCAAAGCAGTGGCCCTTGATTTCGTTTTAGCCATGGCCAAGAACTTCAACCTTTTCTCATCTCCCAACAAAGGAGTTCGTCGCATGATCAACAAGAAGCCATCGGCAAAGAAGGCGGCATCTTGGAACCAAGTGCCGTACCTTCGACACCCTACAGGTGGACGATTCCGTCGTGTAGACCAAGTTAAGTGGCGTCGCAAACGTGGGATGTTCACCCTTATACTCACAGTCCTTCATTGGGAGGGGGTACTCTTATCCCTGTTGAGGACTGTTAGTAGGGGGAACGTCCGAGCTGGCAGGTGAAGTTCCCTTCCAAAAAGATTTGAACTTGGCTTTTGCTGGGTCGTGCAGCGCGCAGTTTGTTGGTGTTACGACGGAACTCAATGCGGCCAAGGCCGGGCGGCCGAGGCGAAGGGGGGGGGCCAAGGCCAAGGCCAAGGGGCTGGGAGGAGACGGTGAAGAGCCAGGAGAGGTGTCCGGTGTCCCCACTTCACGGCCCCTGCAAAGACGCCAACCAGCCGCACCGCCTCGGACGCGGGGTGCCGTGCCGTGCTCTGCGGTGCTTTGCGGCTTGCTTTGCGCTGTGCCGTGCTCTGCGAGCCTCGGCAAGGCTGTGGGCAGAACTGATCATCCTTGGCTCAGACCAAGACTTCGAAAAATTTCGCGATGCGACAGCCCTGTGCTCAAGTCTCAAGGACTCAAGGCAAGCCAGGCAGCATCGGGACCGGTATGTAGAGGTGGTCCCCTGTGTCCAGGTTGCTGCTCTGGCACCTGAAGGGGCAAGAAGGGCATCGAATGGGGAGTGGGGTTCGGGGTTCCCCTCTCCCCGTCCCTTGCCTCTTTGCCCAGACGAACTTGCGATACACGGTGCGTGTATAGGTGACCGCAGCCTGCTCCAGGAGAGTGGTGGAGATGGGCAGGACAACCATCGCTGTCATCTTCATGTCAGCCGCCACAAGTGCCGCGTAAGTCCTCAGTGAAAAGAAGTGCAAACTCACGGGATGGGGGATGTGGGGCCCTTCGCCCACAACCCCCGGAAAAGATCTGTGCAACTCTGGAGCAACCCCGCAGCAGAAAACAAATCTGAAGCTGTTAACTACCGACAAAACACCAGCAATGCTTCAAACTTCAAAGCAGAAGTGTGCCTGGGCATAATTTGAAATTGAGGTTTCCGTTGTGGACTGATGGGAATCATGGCATGACCTCGGTACATGACTGAAAGCACCGGACTACGAAGCGAAGGCTCATGCAAACGCCAGCCATCGTAAAAGCGCAGCCAACCACACCAGCGACTTGAGCCAGTGCCCAACGTAACCTTGTGGAGAAGTGCCTGGACCTGCAAGTCCAGGCGCCGGGTTCGGGGCTTTCTAGGATATCAGACTGCTGAAAAGCAAAAAGAAATGAAACCTCATGACATCTCATGACGGGTGACGAATGCTCAGGCTTGTTCATGGTAAACTTGTACAGAGCCAGTGGGTTGGCAATGAACCTGAGTCTTCATGGGGGAACATCTTCAGACCTAGTGTACAGGGACATGCAGCCAGCACAAAACCCTAAACCCTAAACGTCACCAAGTACACGCGATTCTCCCGGATAGACAATCCTGGCAAGCAGTTCCTCTGTCTCGTACTGAACGTAGCATACGTAGGGTATGGCAGCATGCTCATGCAGGAACTCCGTGAAGAACAACGATTGCACAGGAGCTTGCAGAACCCGTCTTTCGATGGACACGAGGTGTTTCTTGAAGCATGTGCTTCCGGAAAACACTAAACCCAAAACCTAGCCCGGGGTTGTCCAGGCATGTCAAATTCTAGCCTCTGAGATACACCCCCTTGGCATAGGAGTCTTGCAAAATTTGCTTCTATCATGCCTGAAAGTGGCATCGGGACGAAGCTGAGATGAAGGGGGAACTCACCAATGCGCCAGTCGCTGGCCAACACCGCCGTGATCAGGGCCACCATGCCAATCTACCAAGGGGCATCACAGCGGGAAGAAGGCTTGAAGAAGGGTTAGAAGGCCGACCGACCTCATCCCTCCTGTGGACTTGAAAGCCACACCATACGCTAAAACCTTGAAGCCCTAAACTGGTGTGTCCAGGCAGCTACGTTCCCAAGTCGATTGATCTTCCAGTGGCTCTGCTGGCCACAAAGGCTGGCGGCGAGATTCTCAACAATCAGAGGGCCGCCTCTGTGAAAAATCTGAAGCTCTTGCACGGGGCGCGTGCGCCCAAAAGGGGGGAGACTCTTAAGGGTCCTTGCCAAAGGGGATTCTACTAATTCTACTATGTTTGGGAGTCAATGGGGGTACTCATGATTCCTGCATGAAGCCCTCTCCAGCCCGCACGTCCGCAAGCCGCGGGCATTCTGCAGTACACTGCTTCGAGAGCTTATCGAGTCGACCACCGCAGCCTATTGTCTACACCAGCCCTAGGTGCGCCATGCTCTGCCCACACAGTACATCTCAACCACGGGAGAAACACTTTCGACACGAAACGCTGTCCGTGGCGCAGAAGAGGATGCCATTCATCATAACCGGGAGTGGTCGCCACCAAGGCTTGTAACTTGGAGAAAGGTTGGCCTCGAGTTGCATGTGCCTCGGCTGTGAGAAGGCTCGGAGTGCGGGGGTTTGAGGCAAAGGGGGTGCAGTTTGTGTGTGTATTGTGCAACAACTCTATGCTTCTGGAAGATGTCTACGCTCGTTGCCAGCACATTGGCGTTGGGCGTTTTGCATGGGCCTGGGCAAGGCTTTGCCATGAATAGTCGAGGCTCATCAGCCACCGCAGGAAATGCTAAACGAACACCACCAAAACTCCCAGCAGCACTCGTCGTGGAGTGAAGGTGCCGAAAGGCTTCAGGTAAGGGTCGACCACTGTCCTTGGGAGCACACAAGCGGGCAAGAATAGAGCTGAGCTGACACTGAGCTGACACTGGAGCCCAACAGCTCCTTTTGCCAAGTCTCACATCCCAATCTTGCGCCTGCTGTAGGGTGGGGTTCAGAACCACCTGTCCGGATAATTCCGCCTGCAGGAATGTGCCGCTCGTACAGTCACGGTCGGCTTTCAAGGACTTGTCACAAGCATTCCAGGGAGAGACATGCTTTGAGACACCTGAATATTCGCCCCGGAGTCGATGATGTAGATGTGTCTCAAAGAGCCCTCAGTCTTGACAATCTGCAGGCTATGCGTTGGCGGTAGATCGAAAGCGTCCGGACCTCCACAGGGGGCCAAAGCTGCCCCTTTTCCGCGGCGGCTTGCGGCGGTGTAAAAAGGGGCTCTTAGCTTGAGAGCCTTACTGGGTAAACCCATGTCAACCCTAAGCAACCCTAAACGGTAAACGCTTGGTGTTTCTGTCGGGCGTGCTGCAGCTCAGGGGAGCAACTGCACTTGAGCTGCTGAACTCCTCTCCCAGGCCTGCCTGACTTGGTCCAGTACCCCCTGCGCGGGACAGGGTTTAGGATTAGTTGTTGTCCCCAAAAGCCCTTACGACCCGCGACGGCATTTAGCAGCCTTTTACCCAAGAAGCATCTTCCTAGGGATTGATTTCCATGAAGCGTGCAGGAAGCCTGATAACAATCCTTGCGATCATATACAAAGAGAAACATAAATAACAGTGTGCATACATACATACATACATATATATATATATATATATCTATATGTATATGTATATGTATGTATGTAGATCTATATTTTCTATTTATATTCCGAAGTGGTCGACACCCCAGTCGCCAGAGTCACGAAGCGTACGCATGCGCCAGCAGTGCCGTGAATTCCATCATAACTAAACTTACCCGGTCGCAGGCAGCTCCAGTGCGCCGTCGCATTTCTTCAGGTTGCCAGAAATTTAGGGGCCCCACTTGGATCACAAAGAGAGGGCCTTGGGTGAGGCTTTCGCCACAGCAGTGACCACAAACAGAGGCACACATTGAGCACGAGGTAGGCAGATCCAATCCAAGCGTTTTCCAAGTGCCGCGTTTGATGAATTTGGGGTCTTTTGATGCTTGCATTTTTGGTGCGTGTAGTTGGGAGTTTGAAAGTTTGTGAACCTCTGGTGCCGTTTATGACAAAGTCATATTTTCTGGTGCTAATAATTTAAGCTGATCCCAAACTCCCGGTTGTCACGGCCGGCATGGCCGCCCTTTAGTACAGAGCTGGTGCTTGGGGCCGGTGCCTTGCCGTGCCTTGCCGTGCCTTGCCAAAATGAGTTAGGCGGACCGACCAAATCACAGGTGTCTGTTTCTTGACACTAGCAAAGACTGGGCTTCCTTTGCTGATGCTGCGCCGGTGTCTCTGTGGCGCCCTCTTGCCGAAGACGATACCTTGAACGCTCCCAGACTCCCAAACCTCAGCCACACCTGCAGCGCCATGGGACTTTCTAAAGCGACCCCTTGCCCCTTTGCCCCCTTGACCAGCTCGCAACACCTCGTTTCAGCCTGAAACTTCTGTCTGTCCTGGATCGGGCTCCCAGACGCTTCCCGAGCAGGGACACGGCCCAGTGCGGCGGCGGGGGCAGCCAGGAAAAGAACGCCTCCTCTGCGTGCAAGTTTCAGAAAGAAGGACGAGACGTGCAGTGCAGTCGCAGAGTCGCAACGCGGTGCAACGCCGGCGCGCCACGCGGCACGCGGTGCCGGCGCCTGGCCTGAAGGCTGAAAGCGGCCACCTGCGCGCAACAGCGACAGAAAAATCTCTTCCCTCCACTGCTCCGGCCGCAGGACTCCCGCCGCCGAAGGGACGGGACCGAAGGACGCTTCAACCCAAAAGGGGGCCAAACGGCCAAAGGCGGCCTTGCCTTCACGCGCTCATCGCCCAGGCCGCCCGTGGAGATGTGCACGAGGCGACCCCCAGCAGCCAAACGCCTTGCAGCGCAGCTCGGACTCGGACTCGAACTCGCCAGTTAGCTCCAACTCCTAGCTGCTCCTAGCTGCTAGCTCTCGGCTCCCCTTTAGAAGCCCCCCTTAGACAAGGAATCGAGCCTCCTTGCTAGCAGCTCGTCAGCTGCACCTCTCAAAGGTCAAGCCAGCCCTCACCGCAGAAGCCAGAGCCCCAACAGCTGTGGCATCAAGAAGCGTCAAGAGTCAAGACTTGTCTGGGACTTAGCCGCAGTCAGCCCACCTCCTCCACCAACAATGATCAAGCAACTGTCTTGGTATTGCTGACCTTTGCAGCGGCTGTAGGGAAAAGAGATCTGGGAGTCGAGGTGTGAGGTCCCCACTCTCAAAAGGGCTTTCGGCTGCTTATCTCAGCTAGGCAACTCTTCATTGCAGGGCCATGCTGCCCTGCGCATCTCTGCAGCCAGATCCGTCGTCCATGCCGCCGTGGCTTTCAGACAGTGTTTTCATGTTTCTGGGTTTCGACTCTCACACTCGCACAAGGCCGGCAAGGCTCCGGAGTTTAGGGTTTAGGGTTGGGGGGGCTTAGGGCTTAGGGTTTGGTGGCTGGCTGGCATGGCAAGTCAAGGTTCAGGATTGATTGGCTTCCTGAGGCTTTGCCAGAGTTGCGCTCTTCTCGTGAAAGCATCTACCTTTTACATATATCATATACATATATCAACAATCTGCATGTCATACGCAAGTCTATCTACAAAAACGCTTGCAGGTGTCTATAGCTTCACCGTGAACAGATTCGGATTGCACGTGGGTACCTGACCAAAGATGCACATCGCCGAAAGGGCCGAAAGGGTGGAAGTTCCGAGGCGGGGGAAAAGTGAGATGACGGTACTAGTAGTAATAGTAGCAGCAATAGCAAGCGTTGTAGAAATGGCAAGAATGGCAAGACTACGAATATTAATAACAGCAATCGTAGTAGTGATCGAAGCAAGAATAGTATCAACGGGAACACGAGGGCTAAAAATAGAAGTGGTTATAATATGAGTCATAATCATAAACGTAACAACAGTAATTATAGTAATGCTATTAGTAGGTACGGAAGTCTAGTGCTGGTGCACGCTCGTGCGCGGGCTGACAGATAGGCAAGTGTGGCATGGAGTATGAATGAATATTGATGCGAACGGCCTCCAGAAAAAACATCCCACGAGCTGCCGGATGCCGCTTAAACTCCAGGATTCGCATCCTGCTATGCGCAGCACCCAGTTGGGCTTGCTGCTGAAAATCATGAACATGTCGTGGGCTTCCGTTTTTTGGCGGGCCCCTGCCTCTCATGCGGTGACTGTGTGCCACCCAATAGGTGGGCCCAAATCAAAGCCGTCTCATTCACAAGATTCCGAGGAAGCTTCTGGGCAGACCTACAGCACTCACAATCGCACCTAGGCTTACTTTTCAAGATGCTGGTTGATCTAGCAGATTCCATGATACCATAGCGACCAGCCTCAAAGCTAATAGCGGAACTCTCGACATGCCTTCAGCCGTTTTGCAAGAAGCCTCGCCGATCCACTGTTCCTTGCCATGGAACAGTGAGTGTGCTTGTGAGGAGCCCTCCCAAAATCCAGTCAATGGCAAGTTGAACTGCTACAGTATCTTCTATGCCTGCATGGCTTGACTCCATGAACATGTCTCGTGGACACCTGTCCGTGTAGGCCGAGGCGCAATTTGGCATGCTCGTTTTCGGGAAGGCTTAAGGTGTCCGGCAATGGCCAGACATGGCCTCGGATGGAGATGGGGCCTCCGACGAGAACGGCTCTCTCTCAACCCTGGCTGAGAGTACTGCTGTGGCTCGACGTCGAGGTCGAGGCAGGCTCCTCTCCAAGCGCTTAAGCGCCTCACTGTTCTCCGAGTCCTTCAAAGAGCTCTCAGCGCATTACCGCTCGGGCGGCGTGGCCTCGCCGCATCCGCCTTGTGGGCCCGCTGTACATCGATGCCTCGGCTGGCCCCCCGCATTCTTGGGAAGGCACCTCAACCCTGAAGGTCCTTGTAGCCCCGTAGCCGTAGCCCTCAGTCCGAAGCATTTGTCATGAAAACATTCTCCTGTCGAACTCTTCCTTGTTGCACTTGTCCGCAGCCTCAACATCAAACGCCTGGAGCAAGGTGCGACGGTCAGTTACCCAGGCTCCTGTTGGCCCTGAGGCCGCAGGCTATGCACCGATTGCATGTCGTCGGGGTCATCGGAAGGGAGCATGGCTTCGAAGGGGAGTCAATCACACATGAATTCACGCGCGCACCACAGCTGCATCGTTGTTGCTCTGCATTCCTGAGATGCTGTGCTGCTCCTGTCGCATGACGTGGCGTAATGTCATGTCTGTCGTGGCCATAGGCCGCAGGCTAACGCCACATCGATCAACCACAGCCAATACAGTCCTTGGACAATCCCTACGGGAGCCGTCCACACTTAATTCAGCGAGCTAGTCTCTTGACCGACTCTCATCCAAAGACTCTGTGTTCAGGTCACTGAGCTCCGCTCAAGCATATCTCCAAGTAAACCGATCCACTGAGAGAGCGCGCTTCTGAACGAGTTCGTCCAGAGGCGAAGAAGCATGCAATCGAGAGGTTTCCGAATCTCTGTCGTACAGCTCAGGGGTCTCGAGTTGCCTTGGAAACGACGGGCAATTGTTATGGCATTTGGTTGGCGACTTCATCGCCACTCTTTGGCTAATCGTGGCAGCACATGCGCGCCCGACTATAATTGCATTGTCCTGTCAGGGAGCACTGGGGCAGGGTTTCGAAACCTCCGTTTTGAAAGCCAAGAACTCATAGGAATCATGTCAATTGAAGGTGAAATTTGCCCAACGGCATTTGGCTGCACTTGGCTGCTTTCTGCCGAGCGTGGTGGAGTGCCGCACTGTTCAAAGGCGGATCGGCCCACAGCTACATGCACTTGTTCAGGAACTCCTCCATGGAGCAGTCGATCTTCTCGATCTTCCTTGAAAAGATCGGACATGGAACCCTTCTATGTTAGGACGGTTATGTTAATTAGAGGGGATGCAGGAGCGCTCCGCCTTGGGGTCGTTGATGGCATCTTTTTGGTACATGCCACAACCCTCAAAGAAGAACAAAAGAAAGCATGATTCTCACGTCGCGCTTCATCGTTCCATGCGGCACGAAGCCCTGCAAGCTGAAGCGCTTGCCCCCACCAGACGAGCAGTTGATGAAGATAGTCCAGGGACCTCCATGGCTCGGCAAGAACTTCCAAACGTGGCGGTAGCTGATTCGATCTTTGCAGAACCTGGGCTGCTTTGGATACCTAATTACTTTCCCGGTATAAACTACAAGACAAAAATCACATGTCCTTCTTGGCAAGTAACAGCCGGCCGTCTGGATGGAAGATCCACCAGTAGCCATTGCTGTACCTCGTGTCCTTATAGTTCAGGCCGTCCACTTTGCGCTTGCTCCACTCGCGGCAAAGCTTCTGGTTCTCCCTCATCAGAGAAAGAATGACGGGCGCATTGTCGGCCATACCTTCCACGGAGAACTCAAACCTGAAGATGTCGGTGGATTGCTGCTGGACGTCCCCGTATTTGAAATATCCCCTGTCCCCGTTCTTCTCGAGCGTTCCCTTGCACCAAGTCCCCTGGCTGCGGGGTTCTAGATCCTTCAGCATATCGCCCCTCTTGAAGCTGATCTCACTGTTATCCTGGGCTTGGTAGTCCTTCTTGGCGCGAGCCCGCCTTCCCCCATTCCCAAAGCGGTGATAGGATTTCACCGTCTGCCAAGCTGGGCCAAAAGTGCGGTTGAAGGTCGCATAGCGAGAGAGCTGGACGTAGTCTTGGACCGCCATCCAGAACAAGCCATCGTTTTTCTTCGCGTAGTCACACGCCTCGCGTGCTTCATCGGTCCACTCCTCGGACCGATCACCCCAGGGACCAGTCCACTCGCCTTTGGCCCAAGGGTTCCGAAAACAAAGAAGTTGATGGCCACCCGTCTCCACACTGCGAAGCAGGGAGTAGCAGTGACCCGCATGCAGTCCGAATGGAAGGCCCCTCTCGCCGCATTGCCCTGTTGAGCTCCCATCCATGTTTGCATACTTGCCTTTACTTGGTTTAGTAAAGGCACTTGTCATCAGCTCGCCCGCCTTCTGTGCATCCACCAAACGCTTGAAGAAGTCTTCGGGATGGTTGTACTCCGAGTAGTTGATGCCGTATCGACCTGTGACACCGCCAAGGAAGCTGACGATGGCCTCAGCTCCTTGCCCGCCATCACACATCTCAATACATGTGTAGTGCTTGAAGAAGGCCTTCTCCAGAATGCTGACCCATATCTCGGTCCAATCCGTACTACTACCATACAGAGGAGTTCGTCCACTCCGATCATGGCCCAAAACGTCGTCCACAATGACGTGGCGATAATGCGAATCTTCGCAGAACAACAAGCCATAGACACCGACCTCCATGTCATAGGCTACGAAGACCTGACGAAGAAAAGCTTTTCGGTTCGCCGCCACGGAGGCTAAAGCCCCGAGCAGATAGCAGTCCCCTGTTTGGCCTTGCCTGATATCCTGGAAGCTGCCGCCCTGATGGAAGAGCTCGTAATAGTCCCGCATCTCCTTAGCCCGCTTCCACCCAAAGGGGACACCAACCATGCAGTCCCAACCCGGTTTCTCCTTGTCCACGTACATCACGCTGTTTGGGTCCTCCAAGGCGTTCCAGGACTCATCCGTGTACTTCTCGCCCTTTGCTTTACAAGCCTCGATAATGCTTTCCACCTCCTTCTTGCAATTCTCCCGCGCACGCTGCCAGGAGGATAGAGCGGAAAGCACCGGAGGATCTGCTGCTTGGGCTTTCACTGCCTCCACGAGGGTGTCTCCGTCTAGGCTGCCAAGCACCAGAGCTTCCAATAAAGACAGCTTGGCCTTCTGGAGCTCGCCAGCAGCCGACTCGTAAGGCTGATTCTGCACATGGAGGTGGTACAATAATCCATCAATCCCCGTCTTGAAGGCCAGCGCACGCTCGGCATCACTCTCCTCTGCAGGCGAGTCGAGGTCCACAGCAAGCGCGGCCCCAGTCTTCACCTTGCCAACTGCATCTCGGAGTTCCTCCACACCTGGAGCGCCCCCGATGCCGTGTAGCTCACCAGCCAAGTTTTCTAGAGCCAAGGTGGAGATGTCTCCGTCCGCCCTTTCCAGGGCCGCAGCACTCGCACAGCTCTCAAAGCTGTCCAGCGCCGCCTGGCGGCAGACCCCCAGAACTAGCATCGCAGAGGCCCACTCAGCTCGCGAGACCTGCGTCTCGGGCCCAATATCTTTTCCGGCGTCCGGATCGACGGTGACCACCATGGGCGCTGGCTCGACTATGATGTTGTTGTTGTCGCTGGGGTTGTCATCATCATCATCGTTTTCCTCTTCATTCTGGTCCTCCTCGATGCCCACCGCGT